TGTTTACCTAAAGAAAAAACGGTTTTACGAAATTGATCTCTGAATGATCAACAAACACTAGGAAGAAGGAAACAATTTAAAACGGGATTATGTTCCTGAAACGTACCTATTCTCACATGCTATTTTACCAGTTATAACAAGGCTCCCTTCTAATAAAATGTCCTCCAGGACAAGTGTACAATATGCGTTACATTTGGGGAATCCACCACATTGAGAATTATTTTCTCAACATCTTTTCTGCATGACACAAGGGAAGCTTTTGAGGATGTTTCTCTTGTGAACTAACAGGGTGGGGCCTACCACTCATGATACAGACATACTAGTCAGGAACAGTATCTCGGCTGGGTGCCATTTCCCAGAACCAGAGCAGTGAACTTTTGTCTCTGAGATGCCAAAGCTTTAAAGATCTTCTTGTTTACTCTGGGGATCTTTCGCTGCTTTTCCTTATACATCAGTCCTTGACTTACAATCTCTAGGGTTGCTCTAAGTGTCTGACAAAACTGTGCAACAAAAAGGAGAACATGTAAAGTGTTGAAAGTCCTTTAGTCAGAAAGATGCAAAAATGCCTCACAGGTAGTCCTTGACTTACAATCATTTGTTTAGTGACGTTTTGAAGTTATATCAGCACTGAAAAGGGGCGTTGTCTTACCTGAACGCCTTTTCTCAGCACGGAGATGGAGAATCCACCATTGGGTAGTTGACTGTATTCCTGTCCAATCAGATCAAGTCAGCCAAAGTTGCCACGCCCGTCCTGGACCACTGATCTCCAGTCTTTGATGCGAGTGTAGCCATTGACTGACAGCAAGACGTTGTGGCTCACCAAACTAACTGGCCCTATGCTCAGACAAAAATGTACAAGGGTGGGAGGTGGATTCGCCATCTCCGTGCTGAGAAAAGGCGTTCAGGTAAGACAACGCCCCTTCTCCAGCACTTGAGATGGAGAATCCACCATTGGGACATACCAAAGCCTACTGTCCCTGAGGGTGGGTAGTAGACTGGTCCCGAGTGGCACTTTGGTGTAAAACCTGTTGGAGAACTCTCCTTCCGAATGAAGCCTCAGCAGAGGCAAACTTATCAATTTTATAGTGCCTAATGCAGTGGTGGCGAACCTTTTAGAGACCGAGTGCCCAAACTGCAAACCAAAACCCACTTATGTATCGCCAGGTGCCGGGTGGGTGTCGCCCACTGGGTGGGCGTGGCTACAGTGGTCAAAGCAGACAGGGTGGGCGTGGCAGGGTGGGCGTGGCCACCTCAATGTTGCTCCTGGAGATGGATGCCTGTGGGGGCCAGGCAGGGTTGGGGGAGATCCAGGGGGGTCTCTGGCAGATGGGGAAGGTGGGCAGAAGGCTTGTTCTGCAGGTGAGGCGAGGCGAGGGAGGTGGCAGGGTGGGGATTAGGGTTAGGCCACTGCTGCTTTCCCCCCAGGACGGAGCGGCCTGCCACAGTCCGGCAGCAGCAGCAAAGCTCGTCCTCCCCACTCAAGTGGCCACCAGAGGCTCCTGGGCTCC